TAAAACTTTGAACGTTTCCTGCAAATGAGTCAAATGGTCCTATGCGTGCAAGGACTTAACTAGCATGTCATCAATGTAACCTTCCATCGATTTACCTATTTGTTCTTCGAACATTTTATTCACTAGGCGTTGGTACGTAGCCCCTGCGTTTTTTAGCCCGAATGGCATTACATTATAGCAATAGGTTCCATACTTAGTGACAAATGAAGTTTTTTTTTGTCCTCCGGGTTCATGCTAATTTAATTGTACCCAGAATAGGCGTCGAGAAAAGTGACGATCTCGTGGCCGGCTATGGCATCGATCAAGCGATCGATGCTAGGTAGTGGAAAAGAATCTTTGGGGCATGCTTTGTTTAGATCTTTATAATCTACACACATTCTAAGTTTTTTCCCTTTTTTGGGGACTACAACCATATTGGCTAACCATTCGAGATATTTTACTTCCCAAATTGACCATATTTTGAGAAGTTTAGTTACCTCATCTCTTACAAATGCGTGTTTTACCTCAAATTGAGGTCTTCTTTTTTTCTTCACTAGTTTGAACCTAGGGTCCAAACTCAGCTGGTGCGTTGTTATCGATGGTGGGATCTTGTCATGTCTAAATGGGACCAAGCAAAATAATCTATGTTATCAATAAGAAATTGAATAAGTTTTTTCCTGAGTTCGGGGGTCAACCCCATTCCCAGGTATACCTTTCTCTCGGGCAGACTTTCGATTAATATAACCTGCTCCAGTTCTTCGATCGTCGACTTGGTGGCATCGAAGTTGTCAGGGATGATGAGAGCTCGAGGTGTCAGAAATTCTTCCTCGTCATCTTCTATTTCCTGCTCACCAATTCGGTCGAGACTGGTTGCTGTGATTGCTATTTGGTTTCTCGCCTATCTTTTGTTCTCGACCTTTATGAGGCCGATAACATTGGTATCGGTGTTATCTCATTGACCGCAAACATTTCCTTCACAGCATGTTGCTCCCCGTATAATGTCTTCACGCCGTCCGACGTAGGGAATTTCATCACTTGGTGTAGAGTCGAAGGCACTACCCTCATATTGTGGATCTATGGTCTTCCGAGTAGGGCATTGTACCTCATATCGCCTTCGATTACGTGGAACTTGGTGTTTTGGATGGTTCTAGCCACATTTACAGGCAGAATAATTTCCCCTTTAGTTGTTTCACTGGCCATATTGAAGTCTTTTAAGACCCGAGCTACGAACACGACTTGATTCTGTAAACTGAGCTTCTCCACTACCCAAGATAGGATGATATTCACAGAGCTACCTAGATCCACTAAGACACGCTTAACTTGAACTTTATTTAATAGGATAGAAATTACCAGAGCGTCGTTGTCAGGTTGAGAGACGCCCTCGGCTTCTTCAATTCCGAATGATAAAGTGCCCTCGGGTACATAGCCTCAAGTTTGTTTTTCCCCTTGGCCGGTATCTTGCCGTATTTGAGCATGGGTCCCTGTGGAGTATCGACCCCACCGATGATCATATGAATGATATGCAGAGGTTCCTCTTGTTTATCTTTTTTGCTGGCGTCCCTTTCTCTAAAGTGATTCTTGGCTCGGTCACTGAGGAACTCTCGAAGGTGGCCCTTATTGAATAGACGGGCTACCTCTTCTCTTAATTGTTTGCAATCCTCGGTCATGTGGCCATGCGTACCATGATACTTGCACATCGAATTCAGGTTCCTTTGGGAAGGGTCGGTTTGTATGGGTCTGGGCCACCTAGTACCTTTGATTCTTCCGATCGCCGATACGATGCCCGATACGTCGACACTGAAATTGTACTCCGATAGCCGAGGTGCCTCTATAGGATTGGCATATTTATCAAAGCCACTCTTGCTCATAAGCCCCCGAGAATTTTGTCCTCGATCACTCCTTCGATTGTTCCGAGCGGCATTGTACGTCGAACCGTTGTTCATTCGATCTGCGACGTACGGTTGATATCGGTCTCTGTTCGGCCTTTGCTCTCTGTCGATGTCCCTCTGGTTTTTAATAGTTGTCCTGTTCTGATGCATGGATCCGAAAGGAGCTCCCAATTGGTCGTCTTCGACCCTAATTTTTGACTGATATCGGTTGTGTACATCCGCCCAAGTTATTGCTGGATACTCGATCAAATTTTGCTTCAGCCGACGTGATGCTATTGAACTTTGCTCGTTCAACCCTTGGGTGAAAGCTTGGACGGCCCAGTCGTCTGTGACCGGTGGCAATTCTATGCGTTCCATTTGAAATCGGGACACGAACTCCCTCAGCATTTCATTACCCCTTTGTTTTACTTTGAAGAGGTCTGATTTCCTTGTTGCAACCTTTATGGTACCAGCATGTGCCTTTACAAACGAATTCGCTAACATGGCAAAAAAATCGATGGAATTTGGTGGCAGATTATGATACCAAATCATCGCTCCCTTCGAGAGGGTCTCTCCGATTTTTTTCAATAACACAGATTCGATCTCATCGTCTTCCAAATCGTTACCCTTGATGGCACACGTGTAAGAGGTGACGTGTTCGTTGGGATTGGTCGTACCGTTATATTTGGGAATTTCGGGCATACAAAATTTTTTGGGGATTGGTTTTGGGGCTGCACTCGAGGGAAAAAGCTTTTGTATAAATATTTTCGAATCCAGCCCTTTTATCATTGGTGGAGCTCCCGGGATCTGATCGACCCTGGAATTATATGTTTCTACTTTTTTATCGTTGGCTTCGACTAGTTTTGTGAGTTCCTCGAGCAATTTAGTAATTTTGGGAGTAGTCCCCGATTCTTGCTCGTTTGACTTCACTATGGCTGGCTCCGTTCTGTGGGTGATTTCTCGAAGCGGATTGAGCTCCGGCCTGCTTTGTACCTGAGTTTGGCTCTGCAACTGAGCTATCGTTATTTGCTGGGCTTGTAACATCTCGAAGATCATCCGTAAGCTGACTCTGATCTCCTCCATGTTATGGGTTTCTCAAGCTACGGATCGAGTACCGCCCTGAATGCTTTTTTCCGGTTCGGAACATTAGTTCGCCTCAAGAGCCACTTGTGAATTAACATCTAGCGGTACTTCGACTCGGATTTCAGGTACTTCGACTCGAGCTTCAGTGACATCGTTAAGTGGCCTTCCGGCCCTAGGTATCAAATTGTTGGTTTCATCTTGAAGGCCGGCTTCGTGGTCGATAGGTAAAGCCATCGATCGAGGGTTTGCCATTGCTGATTCAAAGTTGTAAACTGATGTGTATTGCAGATTTGTATCAAACAACCACTGTTACCCTTAGCCCCACGGTGGGCGCCAAACTGTTTACCCAAAAAGTCGAATATAGTTAAATTTATAAGTAGTTCTAAGGATATGTGATATAGCTTGACATAAATCGTACGTAGAAGTGGAAATGTTTAGATTCTTGGCTATAAAAACGGGATATAAATTATTGAACAAGAAGAGTGAGTATGCTGAGTAAAACAAGCTCAAAAGATTTATTCTTCAATAAGAGGAGTAGTCTTTTCTTACAATGTGTGAACCTGCCCTATGCTTACAAGGATTCCCCTTTTATAGTAAAGGGATCGTACTTTATTTATAATAAAAAATATATAGTGGAGAACCCATGATGAATTGTCTCTTCCTCGATTCCCGCCAAGATTCTCTCCCCTAGTGCGGTTGCAACGGCTCTTGTCTGCGAGCTTGATACTGGATCGAGCTCGGTATTGAATCAAGCCCTCGGCCTTGGTTAGAGTTCGACATTCGGGGTGAGTATCAATCAGTCTGTGCGTCTCCGACAACCTTCACGTTGCCTTGCGGTTCGATTTGGTCATGGGCTCGATAATGATACCGAGCCGATTCCTCGATCGGTCTTGGAGCTCGAAGCTTGTTTGTACTATCTTCGGAACTCGTCTCAAAGTCTCACTTCGGTCGCTTACCATTCGAATTCGATCAAACGTACGAAGGCCGAAATTTATTTCAAACTGTATACAATCGGTACTTTGGGATATTCTTTATGGGGTTCATTTATTTCTTTCCGTTAACACTAGCATCTTCCTGACAACATTCCTAAACCTTGTCACCTCGTCTTTCATAGGACGGATCCTTAACACTGTACATTTTTTAAACTTTCTTTCGAGCTACTTTCATTCCATCACAGACAATTAGTGTTGTTACAAAAGCATTCATTCTGTTGTGGATGCCAATCGTTCACAAAATAGGGAGGGGAGGGTGTCATATATAGTTGGTTTGGAATTGATAAAACTTCTACATAGTCCATCCGTATATTTGTATAAAAAGGGAGTCATATATAGTTGTAGTTGCAGCCTATGTTTTTGACATTTGACAAACTTTTCGGTAAATTAATTAGGACTAGTAATGCAGTCTGAGTTAACCAAATTTTCAACATAGTTGCATTCATCTTGATCTTTAAATAAATAATTTCTCAGTTCAATTCGTGTTTTTTCCTTGTCAAATTTTGACACATGAAACAGCTTTTTTAATTGTCAAAACTGATGGCACTAATTATTTTACATCAATCATATCGTCGAGTAGGAAAATAAGACAAAGTACTCGTTCCGTCACAATTTATGTGAACATATTTAATTGGATACGGAGTTTAAGAAAAAATAAAATTTTTAAATTTATGGTCCTAAACAAGTCAAAATGGGGCCCAGAGTATTTGTGTGGTTATAAAATTTTCTTATTAAGGATAGAATTGAATGTTTAAGCTAAATTGTTTCTAAATTTAAAAATAAATTTTTTTTTTTTTAAACGGATAAAAAAAAAATTCACTTAAAGTATAAAAAGAAGAACAAATTTGTGGCACACATTGATGCCGTATAGCTGGTGGAGTAAATAAACTAAATGGGGCCGAAGAATCTTTGATCTGCCTACACTGAATCTGGCACGCGCCCTCCACACTCCCCTGTCAAGTATCACCCTTCTTTTAACTTCTCTCTCCTCACATTTCTTCTTTTTATCTCCACACTTCCCAAACCCTTCCCTGGTAATTTCTCTTCACCTTTCTGCAAAATCTTTAATATTTTTATGTACCCCTTTTTCCTTTCCTCTGTAAATTTCTTTTACAAGATTTCATTTTGAATTTCTTTTTGTTCTTCTTGGCATGTGTTAATCTTCGTATTCTGTGCTTGCCTTTGGTTGTTTTAGCTAAACTAACGTGCCATAGGAGAACAAAGTGTTCCTTTAATATAATTAGCATCATAGAAACAATGGTGATTTTGCAAAAATTTTATGGTGGTTATGTGTCTTCATCTAAAGTTTTGGGGTTGTGGGGTGGGTATATGGACTCAAGATTATACTATCTTGGCTATTGAAACTAGAGGAAATTAGGGAAAAGTAATTCTTCTTTTTTACTTCCTCTTTTTGGTTTAACATGTGGGCGGACTTACGTGTAAAGTATTAAGACTTTTATTATTGATCGAGCAGATTTCAAGTTTGTGCTTTTAGAGTGCTATCCTTCATTTCATTTCTTAGAGCCTATTTGGATGAACTAATTTCAAGCCTTTGGAAAGATAGGAAATTATAACAATACAACCCCAGTGACAAAATGTATGATTTTAATTGTAAAAAAATAATTTATAATGCATCTCTAATAGCTGATCGACTAAGAACGGAAGTTTTCAAATGACATCTAAAAATCAAAATTGAAAATGGTCACAAAAATGAGTAGCTGTTGATGTGGAGAGATGCTATTCGTGTTGAGTAGCTGTTGATGTGGAGAGATGCTATTCGTGTTTACTTGAACAGGCTAAATATAATTTGTGTGTGCAAATAGATGGACTTCAATTCATTTGCATTCAAGTGGAGCTTTAAGGCTTTAGTTATTGTGCTATTTTCCGGTTCCTCTATAAGAAAAGAAAAATGTAATGCATTTCTCACATTTAGTTGTTAAATGTACCTGCGAGCTTTCAAGTCTAAAGTGCTCTCCTTGTACTCTGCAGATTCTCATTTGCCTTCTGCCTGTGGACTTTATCGGTGTCTGTCTCTAGATGTTGGGTGGTGTAACTTCTGTTTCCATGTTCACCAATCAAACTGCTAATGTAAGTAATCCTCTTGCGGCAAGGATACTCATATAGCACAATGTTTAGTTCAAGTGTCAGAAATGAACTTGTGTTGGATTTTGTGTACCTTGTGCTAACTACTGCTAGTTAAAGTTTATCACTCTCCTTTGGTATCTGTTAGGCTATGTTCTCCATGGTTCGGTCCCTAATTTTTCATTGTTCTATTCTAGCTTCGCTCTTTTGTAACATTGCTTAACGTTCTTATCTTCTCTTCTGCAGGGCTTTCAAATTGCTTCTTTTTTGTTTGTTAGATCTTCCAACCTGTCCAAGAAGTACTCAATTCCACAACCTTTTTTCAAAATTCCTGGCATTAGGGAACATATTTTCCAATTTGTAGCCAGTAATAATGGAAGCCTTGCCAGAAAGAACATTGTCTTTGCTATTCCAAATGGAAAGGACGATGCTGAAAAAGAAGGTTCAGATTACTATATTGATTATCCAGTTGCCGTTGATCGGAAACAAGATAAGAATTCTTGTGCGCCAGAGATGGAAACAACTTTTTCCTTGTTGCCATGTGGTGAGGGTACTCCTAAAAGTAATGAGATCAATGGTAAGGAAGATGGCTTACTTGCTAAGCTGATTGCTGTTCATTTGCATGTACTGGCAATGGAACAATGGAACGCCTCCAAACTTAAAATGTCCCACAAGTATGTTCTCTTTTAATTTTTTTTATAAATATTTTCCTTTTCAGTGAAGGTGATAAGAAGTATGTCCATTTCTATTGTGAGATAATAAAGGCCTGTTTACCCTCACTTTTTGTCCTCTCTCAGACTCCCAAAGAAGAAATACCAGCAGATAAAGTTATCATTTCTGTGAAATAACAACATAAATTGAAACATGTAGGAAGCGCGTGGTTGAAAGATCTAATGGAAGGCTATTGATATGTGATGAGAACATAGCTAGCATGGAGGATTTAGCCAGTAGAATACAGACACATAATCAATATGTGTTCTTCCTTTTTATTGATGAAGTTTTTTGGTTTACTTAAGTACTTTCATTTACTGTATCTTGAGTGTTTTAAAATAAACTTGAATCATTACGCATAATGATTGAGAGTGGTTACACTGAATACCTGCTCTGTATCAGCTTTTCCACCAGCAATTCTACTGCGATTTTCCCTGCTTGATCATATATTCTTGCAACTAACTTGAGATTCCATGAATGACAGAAATTACTTGGTCAGTGCGACAAACCTAATTCATTATTTGGCATTGAAAAGCCTTGACGTAGAGCAGCTTGAAGAAGAACTTTCTTCCATTGGTCTCCTGAATTTAGACACAATTAATCAACATGTTCTTGCAAGTCTTTCTGCAGGCATCCGGCTGTTAGATAACTTGAAATATGATTCTTCAAGTCGTACTGTCTCATATAGTGAAGGAATCTCTTCAACCAAAAGTCTGGACAAACAAATCAACGGGGAATTTTCTATTAGTACACTAAGGAGGAGGGCATCCCATACTGGAGACCTGTTATTGGGCAGATTGCCAGAGAAGAGAAAAACTCATATCATGGTAACAGTGGGCCAAGAAGCTATAGAAAGTGAAACACTAGTGAAAGATCTTCTAAATGCTGGAACTACAATTGTTCGTATCAACTGTGCCCATGGAAGCCCTGAAATTTGGAGTGAGATCATCAGAAGGGTGAAAAGAAGCTCTCAAATCCTTGAAAAGCCTTGTCTAGTTCTCATGGACTTAGCTGGGCCCAAGCTTCGAACTGGAACGCTGCAGCCCGGTCCATGTGTCTTGAAAATATCTCCCAAGAAGAATGCTTATGGTCAAGTGATATGTCCTGCCCTAGTTTGGCTCTCAAGCCCAGGAGCTGGTTCTCCACCTGCCCATGTATCCCCTGATGCTGTTCTACATGTGGACGGTGAAGAACTTCTTAGTAAGCTGGAGCCGAATGATGTTGTGACATTATCTGATGCTCGTGGAAAACAAAGGACACTGAAGATCTTAAGCAAGTATCCTGTTTTCTCCGGCATTGGATTTATGGCTGAATGCAGCAAGACTGCTTATGTCAAGTCAGGTGCAAAATTGTTTATCAAGGACAAGAGAAAGAAATTTTCAGCTGGACATGTAGTAAACATTCCTCCTCTCAAGCAATTTATCAGATTAAGGGTTGGTGACTTGCTGTCTATATCACGAGATAGTCAAAATGAAGAAAACAAGTTGAAGTATTCTTCCACTGGTGCTCACAGGATAACCTGCTCATCTGGATATGTTTTTGATTCAGTGAAGCCCGGGGAACCAATTTCTTTTGATGATGGGAAGATATGGGGTATTATTAAAGCAACTAGCACTTCCGAAATTGTTGTATCAATCACCCATGCAAGTCCTACAGGTAGTAAACTTGGGTCAGAGAAGTCCATAAATATTCCACGGAGCAATATTCGGTATGAAGGCCTCACTTTAAAGGACCTTATAGATCTCGACTTTGTGGCCGACCATGCAAACATGGTGGGGGTATCATTTGTCCGAGATGTCAGTGACATTCTACTGTTGTGCCAAGAACTTGAGAAGCGGAAAAGAGGGGACTTGGGGGTTGTTTTAAAGATTGAGACAAAAGGAGGATTTGAGAGATTGCCGCTCCTACTACTGGAGGCAATGAAAATGCCAAATCCTTTAGGCATCATGATTGCCAGAGGAGATCTTGCTGTAGAGTGTGGATGGGAAAACATGGCATATATACAGGAGGAGATAATCTCCGTCTGCAAAGCTGCTCATGTTCCTGTCATTTGGGCAACACAGGTCCTGGAGTCGCTCGTCAAGTATGGGGTGCCCACTAGAGCTGAGCTTACTGATGTGGCAGACGGAATGAGGTCAGTAGTCTCTTTGCCTCTGTGTGTGTGTGCGTGTGTGAGTGCATTTTGATTCCCATCTTTCCTTTTTGGGTTTTGAGGAGTTGAGTCGGGAGTCGAGGAGGTTATAGTCTGGCTGCTTCTTTATTTTCTCTATATACTTAAATGGAGTTTAACAAGTGCTGGAACTTCTAACATTAAAACGTGACATAACTTATCAAGTGAAAAACTTGAATGCACTTTTCTTGATCAATTATTTCTCAAAGAAGTGAAATTCGCTCAGCACATATGCATAAGTTTTAACTAGTTTTGAGGCGTGGAAACTTGTGAATGCGCGGATATACTTGTCAATAGTAGGTGGAGTGTACATGGAGAAAGATAAAACGCATCTTCTACTGGAAATATACTTGAGGCTGAGATTATATACAATATTAAAAGCTATAAAGGAACCAAGTACAGAGAGAAATAGTTGTCCCAATAACTCATGTATAGCCCAAAAATTGTATGCTTATAACTAATCTTTGAAACGGAGTTATTTAGAAATTGATGCCAAATAATCGGCAAAGATCTTGAATGNAATTGGATGATGGAAATAACCATGGAGATATATGGGGCTGGTATGTCTAACTTTGTAAGAGTAAATTTGCTTTTTGTTGATCTTGGACCCCTTTTGCTTAAAACTGGTATTTGGAAGGACCAGTTTGTGGACTGAGATATTGGACTGGTGTTGAGTAGGACTTACTAGCTCATATACAATCAACAAAGAGACTTTTCCCTTAAATCAGTTAACCAATGGTGTTGATAAAGAAATAAATGCCCTTGTCTAACCACTTATCCTCAAACCAACTTTGCCTGCCTAACCCCAAAATCCTCCAAATAATCTCAAATAGGTGCTGTTGTTAACTCGTATTAGAACTGTAGTAGAAACTCGACCTTTCCTCCATTTTCCTGTGAATGTTTTTCGATAGCACGACCCATGTTTAATCCGTTTTCTTATTGCAGGACAAGTTGTATCATGTTGAACAAGGGTAAATGCATTGTGGAAGCTGTTGCTTTCTTACACAGAATATTGAGCGATCACTCCATGAAGCCAAATGCGGAATTTAAGCCTCTTGCTTTATCCAGCCATGACTCTTAGTGCTTTGACCGTACGAGTAGCTGCTGATATATTCTCCCCACTCGTATACATCAATATTAAGCGAAACCAAACAATTAGTAGTAGTTTACAATCCTATTATCTTAACAGTTGAAGAACCATGTGAGACCAGTGTTCAAATCTAAACTAAGACAAAAATACGAAGTGATCTCTTTGTTTTCCCAAATCTTTGGAGGTACTGCTAATGTAATTCTTGGTGCTTGTACTTGTAGAAGGTGGCATGTAACTGGTGAAATAGTCGAAGTATGCGCAAGCTGGCCGAACACCGATGTTATCAAGACTTCTTCCTAACGGCACACTGTATATAATCTTGAGATGGCCAATGTGAACAGTAAGTGGTATCTGTTGATGAAATGCCATTGCATGGAACTGAGGAATGGGCGGATGCTTAAACATAGGTGGATGTGGGACACAGAAAGAATAGATTCAGGTGCTCCTGAGTCAAGAGACTCTTCTCCCTAAGTAGCATTTTTGTAAAAAGTGATTTTTTGTTTTTTAGAGATGCCCTTGATGATTCAGATCTACCCCTTGCATCTTCATCCTTTTGAAAGCCAAGACCATTCTTTTAGATCTGCATTAGTCCTATTTCAGGTGCAATGCCTCTTCAGCTTTTTTCAAACTTGATGGTCAAGTTCCCTGCGACTTCCATAAATACGTTGGGAAAGCAAGAGAATGCTTTGCGTTTTCTTATGCATGTACATCACACCTCCTATGGTTGTTACCAAAGCTCCGAGTGAACCCAAAATGGGCCATGGACTTGGATCTACCAAGTGATACATTAAAAAGAAAGCCTGTTGCACATTATGGAGGGACAAAAATCCATAGGTACTACCAATAAAAAAGTAACATCACAATGATAAAAAAAAATATTCTGATCTGGGGCTCAAGATAAATGGCTTATTCCTAGTAATTTCATTGGTAACCCAGTTGAAGTCACACGGGAAGCATTAGGTTGACATCAGGTGTAACTCAGCAGTCAGCAGCAAGCCCGGTCAAAACAGATGATATTGCTTGTTAACTCTTTCTATCTGGTGAAAGACTTCTGGGGTAGATAGTACTTAAAAAACCAATTAGTCATATTCTAAAGAGCAATCGCCATCAGCCTTTTTCCACAGTTAAAAAGAATATGAAAAAGGAACTTTGCATGTGTTAATTTGTTGATGTTGTGCAAAGAATATGAAAAAGGAAATTTGCATGTGCGAATTTGTTGTGCATCCGTAGTTCTGATAAAGAAAGGAGATTTAAGTTAGTTGACGATCAACATAAAATTAATTAATTTATTAGGCAAATCGACAACAGTGAATACATAGAGACATGCACCGGGAATAAAAGAGGTCCAGATGGAGCAAAATGTGAGGGTTTGTATATGATACACCTCAAGGAACACCAAAGTCATTCACAAGATCTCAAGCCAAGGAGCTTCACCAAGCATTGGGATATCTTGGAAGCATTGGCCATTGAAGGTATACAATGTGTTGAGAGTGGAGATCTTGGAGGAGCAGGAGACTTGGATGATGACCACGTGGAAGGCCATGCCTACATGGATGGTGATAGGCGCACATGTGTGCCCCCTTGATGACTTGGATGCAAGTATGTGGGCCTAGGCCATGCTCGCCAATGATTGGAGACTTGGGTTATAAGATTTCCCTTGTGGGCATAGTAATTATTAGTTAGACCCATTAGGGGTACTTATGTCTTTCTTACCTTATTTGGACCTAATATAAATAACATATGATGGGGTTATTTATAGTTTAGCTTATCTTTTAATATTGAAGAATTGTGAGGAGCATGTGTTTCCAACTTATTGATTCAAACTCTTGCAAGGTGTATTCACAAGAGTAATCCTATAGTTTAGGTTTACTAAGTATTATAATTTGTTGGGTAATTGATTATTTCAATTATTTGACAATTACTTCTTTGTTGGGTCTTCTCAATTTCTATCATGTCTTTAATTTCTTCAATTCCGTACTTAGATTCGTATCAGTATAATTGACCATAATTGGCTTGGAATTGAGGTATTTATTGTTGTGGATTCTATAATAATCTGGTAAAATGGTAGACATCATTTCTTTTGTACAAATACAATTGCTTTCTTTCCATCAAGCCTCGAGGCTTGACGAAATTGCCAATATATGTATTATACACAAAAACGTGGCTAAAAATGCACTCAATCATTTACAACAAGACCACGTACTACAATTAACTAATGGCAGTTATTTATCTTCTGCAGTAAAATCTGGCTCTGTTGGCTTCTGAAGCAGAATGGGTGATATCCTGTCTGGCACCCTTGCTTTCTTTGCAGTATTGCGCCGCAAAGCACGGAGTGCATTAGCAGCAAATCTTGATGCATAAAAGGTAGCACCCAAACTTGGTGAACTGCCACCTTCATTTGCCAATGCATCTTGCAACCTGTTTTCTTCTTCACGAAGAGACTCTTCTACCTTCTTCCTGCAATAACTCCGCCATGCTGCTTGTATGAAGCAAGCTGCCCAAGTTCTCCATTGGCCTGAGTAAAACCTGAAAGTGTGGCGGAGCTGCTTACTGTGAAGTCGTCGGAACTGAGAGGCTACAAGCTTTAAATCATCAGCCACTAAAGCAAATGCTTCAACTTCTGAGAGTGCTTGGGCAGTTCTAGTTGAGATTGGTAGGTTAGTTGACGAATTAGGGTCAAGAGCCCAAGTAAGTAGCTCCTCTCCACAAAAATCACCAGCTTTTAGATGCTCAGAGTTAAAAAAACCTGTCCTCCCTCCATTAGTGGTTACAGACAGTAGTTTGCCCCTCATTACAAACAGCATCGCATCAACTGGATCACCTTCACGAACAATGAAGCTGTCCTTGGTGAATAGCACTGGCTTCAGATGGTCGCATAATGCATCTAAGAGTTGTTCATCCATTTTTTCAAACATTGGCACCTTAAAATATTCATGCATAATCAAAATCAAGAACAAATAAACAGATCATAAGAACAGAAAACAGCAATCTTTTGACTATACTACTCTTAGAAAAACTCACTTTTTATATATAAAAAGTCATCTAAGATATGATGCCAACCATTAGAGGGGAATAAATCACATTTGTAATGACCCAACCGGTCATTTTGACTTTTAGAACTCCCTTCCCTAAAATAAAACTTTCCGTATGTGCTTTTAATGATTTATGACTTGCGGGGATGGTTGGTTCGGGATTTGGAAGTGTTTGGGTTGAAATCGGAACACTTGGTTCCTTAAGTTGGCTTTAAAAGGCCAAGTTTGACTTCGGTCAACATTTTGAGAAAACGACCCCGGAATAGAATTTTAACGATTCCAACAGCTCTGTATGGTGATTTTGGACTTAGGAGCGTGTTCGGAATTTTATTTGGAAGTCCGTAGTTAAATTAGGTTTGAAATGGCTAAAATAAGAATTTAAGTTTGGAAGTTTGACCAGGGAGTTGGCTTTTTGATATCGGGGTCGGAATCCAGTTCCGAAAATTTTCATAGCTCTGTTACGTCATTTATGACTTGTGTGCAAAATTTGAGGTCAATCGGACTTGATTTGATAAGTTTCGACATCGAATGTAGAAGTTGAAAATTCTAAGTTTCATTGAGCTTGAATTGGAACATATTTCGCGGTTTTAGCGTCGTTTTAGGTGATTTGAGGTTTCAAATAAGTTCGTATGATGTTTTAGGACTTGTTGGTACCTCGGGTGAGTTTCGGATGGTTAACGAATCAAAAGTTGGACTTAACGACCTGAGGCGAAGCCAGGGACGAGGCTCAGTATCGAAGCCACAATCGAAGGTCCAGCTCGAGGGCCATGATCGAAGGCAATGCTCGAGGGCCAGGATCGAGACCCAAAATCGAGGGTCACAATCGAAGGCTCAGGCTCGATGCCATGATCGAAGGACCAGGCTCGATGCCATAATCGAGGCCATGACCGAGGTCCAGGCTCGAGCCTGTGATCGAAGCCACGATCGAGGCCTAGGCTCGAGGGCCATGATCGAAGCCACGATCGAGGCCCAATTCGATGCCCAGTTTCGAAGGCTGCCTGGGCAGAATTATAAAAGAGGGCATTCATCCCATTCACCATTTTTAACAAATTGGAGCTTGAGCAGAGGCGATTTTGGATAGATTTTCAAGGAAAAGCATTGGGGGTAAGTGATTCTAACCCGGATTTAGTCTATATACATAAATATATCATTGTTTTCACCATTTAATTAGTGTTTTGAGATTGAAATNGTGATTCTAACTCGGATTTGGTCTATATACATAAATATATCATTGTTTTCACCATTTAATTAGTGTTTTGAGATTGAAATTTGAAATTTTTTTGAAATCTCATAGAAACGAATTTTCAAGATTTCGGTATCGATTCGGAGTCGGATTTGAGTGAAACTAGTGTGGTTGGACTCGTAATTGAATAGGTTGTCGGATTTCGTAACTTTCTCCGGATTTCGAGACGTGGGCCCCACAGACGAAATTTTAATTAATTTCGGATTTTTATTGAAAAATGTAGTATTTTCTTATGAAATTGATTCCTATAATTGTTAGTGATTGTATCGAATTATTCTTGGCTAGATTCAAGCCAGACAGAGTTGGATAATCGTGGAAAAGGCCTTCTGTTGGATTAAATTGGAGCAAGACGAGGTAAGTCTCTTGTCTAATCTTGTGAGGGGGAAATTACCTCATAGGTGATTAAAATTAAATAATTGTTGCTAATTGTGGGGGCTACGTACGCACGAGGTGACGAGAGTCTGTGCGTAGCTACTATTAATGCTAAAGTCTGGGTAGTTTAGAACTCAAAGCATGAATTATTTGTGTAAATTGTATTCTTTGTTTAATTAATATTATTTGATATATATATATTGTGAATTGTTAGATAAAAAATATTAAAGGATGAAAATCTCATATACTTAATTTTTTGTTTAAATTAATTAATCATCTAATTGATAAGAGAAATTGTTCTTCCTCCTGAATTTATCTTTATAATAAATATACTCTCATTCCGGAGGTACATAAAAAAATGTCTTCCTTTCTTGTGGAGCGGGCCGAACGCCTCGGCAGGATAGATGCATCTATGGATCGTGCCGCACGTCCCTCGGCAGTGTACACGAAACTCTGGATCGGGCCGTACGACCTCGGCAAAAATCGTGCTTGATAATAATAATTACACGATACTTGGACAGTTTATTGCAGCTTGTAAAGGTATTTGATAAATTGAAAATTTATTAAAATTGAATTGCAACTTGTATAGCTATTTGATAAATTGAATTTTTTTATTGAAATCGAAAGATTTAATTAATAGATTGAAAATTGTTGCATTTGAAGTATTTTTTTTATTATTATTTTTGCTAATTGAATAAAATTAGTATTAACTCTGTGAGTCATGCTGATTTGAATAATTATAATTTATGTCATTTATTATTGTTGACCTTTAGTGAGTGTCAAAGTCGATCATCTCGTCTCTACCACTTCGAGATTAGGCTTGATACTTACTGGGTACACGTCGTTTACGTACTCATGCTACACTTGCTTCACTTTTTGTGCAGGATCTGAGACAGATACTAGTGGAGGACCTATCATCGCACATCCTCG